GACCACTGTCCATACGTGTCCTACTGTCCATACGTGTCCTACTGTCCATACGTGTCCTGACCACTGTCCATACGTGTCCTACTGTCCATACGTGTCCTGACCTGTCCATACGTGTCCTACTGTCCATACGTGTCCTACTGTCCATACGTGTCCTACTGTCCATACGTGTCCTGACCACTGTCCATACGTGTCCTACTGTCCATACGTGTCCTGACCACTGTCCATACGTGTCCTACTGTCCATACGTGTCCTACTGTCCATACGTGTCCTACTGTCCATACGTGTCCTGACCACTGTCCATACGTGTCCTGACCACTGTCCATACGTGTCCTACTGTCCATACGTGTCCTGACCACTGTCCATACGTGTCCTACTGTCCATACGTGTCCTACTGTCCATACGTGTCCTACTGTCCATACGTGTCCGGACCACTGTCCATACGTGTCCTGACCACTGTCCATACGTGTCCTACTGTCCATACGTGTCCTGACCACTGTCCATACGTGTCCTACTGTCCATACGTGTCCTGACCACTGTCCATACGTGTCCTACTGTCCATACGTGTCCTACTGTCCATACGTGTCCTACTGTCCATACGTGTCCTGACCACTGTCCATACGTGTCCTGACCACTGTCCATACGTGTCCTGACCACTGTCCATACGTGTCCTACTGTCCATACGTGTCCTACTGTCCATACGTGTCCTACTGTCCATACGTGTCCTGACCACTGTCCATACGTGTCCTACTGTCCATACGTGTCCTGACCTACTGTCCATACGTGTCCTACTGTCCATACGTGTCCAGACCACTGTCCATACGTGTCCTACTGTCCATACGTGTTCTGACCACTGTCCATACGTGTCCTACTGTCCATACGTGTCCTACTGTCCATACGTGTCCTACTGTCCATACGTGTCCTACTGTCCATACGTGTCCTACTGTCCATACGTGTCCTACTGTCCATACGTGTCCTGACCACTGTCCATACGTGTCCAGACCACTGTCCATACGTGTCCGGGTGGGGTGTTTGTAAGTGGGTTTTGGGATTGTGTAGTAGTATGGAATGTTACACTAGTTTCTGCTGTGTTGTTTTATGTGTTATGTGTGTCATGTGTTGTTTTTGGGGCCCCGTCTATAAGCTAATGCAGCTTCCTGGGAGTTCCCTTTTTACAAAACACCAACCAACACTTCATTGTAAAAGTGTATAACCAATATGGCTACGAGTTTTGAAAATAAAAGAATTGAATTTCTTAAAGATAAAGACAGAAACTGCTATAAACAGCAGCTGTGGCTCAGAGGGAGGAGTATTGGTCTGAGCTGGACGCCTGAGCCCCACTTTGCCTGAAGCCCCCGACTGAAACACCAAGGATCTGTCATTGACGAGTGCTGTGTGGCTGATGTTCCTGGGACTGCCCCAGTGCATTCTGGGAGGATGTGGCTGATGTCATTGGGACTGCCCTGGTGCATTCTGGGAGGATGTGGCTGATGTCATTGGGACTGCCCTGGTGTATTCTGGGAGGATGTGGCTGATGTCATTGGGACTGCCCCGGTGCATTCTGGGAGGATGTGGCTGTGGCTTAAGCGAGAGCAGGTGTGAAACTGAGGCATGAGTTAGACCAAAGAGTTCACACAGAATCAAACTGTACTCGTGACCCTGGAGTGGGAGGAGCCTTTGACCCTGGAGTGGAGACAGAACATGACGCCGCTGAGAAAGTGACGCTGTGGAGACGCCGCTGAGAACGTGACGCTGTGGAGACGCCGCTGAGAACGTGACGCTGAAAACGTGACGCTGTGGAGACGCCGCTGAGAACGTGACGCTGAAAACGTGACGCTGTGGAGACGCCGCTGAGAAAGTGACGCTATGGAGACGCCGCTGAGAACGTGACGCTGAAAACGTGACGCTGTGGAGACGCCGCTGAGAACGTGACGCCGCTGAGAACGTGACGCCGCTGAGAACGTGACGCCGCTGAGAACGTGACGCCGCTGAGAATGTGACCCTGTGGAGACGCCGCTGAGAACGTGACGGCGCTGAGAATATGACGGCGCTGAGAATGTGACGGCGCTGAGAACGTGACGCTGAGAACGTGACGCTGAGAACGTGACGCTGAAAACATGACGCTGTGGAGACGCCGCTGAGAACGTGACGCCGCTGAGAACGTGGCGCCACTGAAAACGTGACGCCACTGAAAACGTGACGCCGCTGAGAACGTGACGCCGCTGAGAACGTGACGCTGAAAACGTGACGCTGTGGAGACGCTGCTGAGAACGTGACGCAGCTGAAAACGTGACGCTGTGGAGACGCCGCTGAGAACGTGACGCCGCTGAGAACGTGACGCTGTGGAGACGCTGCTGAGAACGTGACGCCGCTGAGAACGTGACGCTGTGGAGACGCCGCTGAGAACGTGACGCCGTTGAGAATGTGACGCCGCTGAGAACGTGACGCCGCTGAGAACGTGACGCCGCTGAGAACGTGACGCCGCTGAGAACGTGACGCCACTGAGAACGTGACGCCGCTGAGAATGTGACCCTGTGGAGACGCCGCTGAGAACGTGACGGCGCTGAGAATGTGACGGCGCTGAGAACGTGACGGCGCTGAGAATGTGACGGCGCTGAGAATGTGACGCCGCTGAGAACGTGACCCTGTGGAGACGCCGCTGAGAACGTGACGGCGCTGAGAACGTGACGGCGCTGAGAATGTGACGGCGCTGAGAATATGACGGCGCTGAGAACGTGACGCCGCTGAGAACGTGACGCTGAGAACGTGACGCTGTGGAGACGCTGAGAACGTGACGCTGTGGAGACGCTGCTGAGAACGTGACGCTGTGGAGACGCCGCTGAGAACGTGACGCCGTTGAGAACGTGACGCCGCTGAAAAACGTGACGCTGAAAACGTGACGCTGAAAACGTGACGCTGAAAACGTGACGCTGAAAACGTGACGCTGTGGAGACGCCGCTGAGAACGTGACGCCGCTGAGAACGTGACGCCGCTGAGAACGTGACGCCGCTGAGAATGTGACCCTGTGGAGACGCCGCTGAGAACGTGACGCCGCTGAGAATGTGACGCCGCTGAGAACGTGACGCTGTGGAGACGCCGCTGAGAACGTGAAGCCGCTGAGAACGTGACGCTGAGAACGTGGCGCCGCTGAGACCGTGACGCTGTGGAGACGCCGCTGAGAACGTGAAGCCGCTGAGAACGTGACGCTGTGGAGACGCCGTGGAGACGCTGCTGAGAACGTGACGCCGCGGAGAATGTGACGCTGAAAATCTGGCGACGCTGAGAACGTGACGCTGAGAACGTGGCGCCGCTGAGACCGTGACGCTGTGGAGACGCCGCTGAGAACGTGAAGCCGCTGAGAACGTGACGCTGTGGAGACGCCGCTGAGAACGTGACGCCGTTGAGAATGTGACGCCGCTGAGAACGTGACGCCGCTGAGAACGTGACGCCGCTGAGAACGTGACGCCGCTGAGAACGTGACGCCACTGAGAACGTGACGCCGCTGAGAATGTGACCCTGTGGAGACGCCGCTGAGAACGTGACGGCGCTGAGAATGTGACGGCGCTGAGAACGTGACGGCGCTGAGAATGTGACGGCGCTGAGAATGTGACGCCGCTGAGAACGTGACCCTGTGGAGACGCCGCTGAGAACGTGACGGCGCTGAGAACGTGACGGCGCTGAGAATGTGACGGCGCTGAGAATATGACGGCGCTGAGAATGTGACGGCGCTGAGAACGTGACGCTGAGAACGTGACGCTGAGAACGTGACGCTGAGAACGTGACGCTGAAAACATGACGCTGTGGAGACGCCGCTGAGAACGTGACGCCGCTGAGAACGTGACGCCGCTGAGAACGTGACGCCGCTGAGAACGTGACGCCGCTGAGAACGTGACGCCGCTGAGAACGTGACGCTGTGGAGACGCTGCTGAGAACGTGACGCTGTGGAGACGCCGCTGAGAACGTGACGCCGTTGAGAACGTGACGCCGCTGAAAACGTGACGCTGAAAACGTGACGCTGAAAACGTGACGCTGAAAACGTGACGCTGTGGGAGACGCCGCTGAGAACGTGACGCCGCTGAGAACGTGACGCCGCTGAGAACGTGACGCCGCTGAGAATGTGACCCTGTGGAGACGCCGCTGAGAACGTGACGCCGCTGAGAATGTGACGCCGCTGAGAACGTGACGCTGTGGAGACGCCGCTGAGAACGTGAAGCCGCTGAGAACGTGACGCTGAGAACGTGGCGCCGCTGAGACCGTGACGCTGTGGAGACGCCGCTGAGAACGTGAAGCCGCTGAGAACGTGACGCTGTGGAGACGCCGTGGAGACGCTGCTGAGAACGTGACGCCGCGGAGAATGTGACGCTGAAAATCTGGCGACGCTGAGAACGTGACGCTGAGAACGTGGCGCCGCTGAGACCGTGACGCTGTGGAGACGCCGCTGAGAACGTGAAGCCGCTGAGAACGTGACGCTGTGGAGACGCTGTGGAGACGCCGCTGAGAACGTGACGCCGCTGAAAACGTGACGCTGAAAACGTGACGCTTTGGAGACGCCGCTGAGAACGTGACGCCGCTGAGAACGTGACGCCGCTGCGAACGCGCGCTGCGAACGTGACGCCGCTGAGAACGTGACGCTGAAAACATGACGCTGTGGAGACACCGCTGAGAACGTGACGCCGCTGAAAACGTGACGCCGCTGAAAACGTGACGCCGCTGAGAACGTGACGCCGCTGAGAACGTGACGCTGAGAACGTGACGCCGCTGAGAATGTGACCCTGTGGAGACGCCGCTGAGAACGTGACGCCGCTGAGAACGTGACGCCGCTGAGAACGTGACGCCGCTGAGAATGTGACCCTGTGGAGACGCCGCTGAGAACGTGACGCCGCTGAGAATGTGACGCCGCTGAGAACGTGACGCTGAGAACGTGGCGCCGCTGAGACCGTGACGCTGTGGAGACGCCGCTGAGAACGTGAAGCCGCTGAGAACGTGAAGCCGCTGAGAACGTG